AATACGATTATCATAATTATTTAAAATGCTGTTGATCTTTATCAAGTGTACAAAGATGATTTTGATGAATAATCTCACGCGCATAATAAAGATTGCCAATTATTTTTCGCCAACAATCGGTGATGTTGACTGATTCTATCACGATCTTCGTGCCAAATCTCTATACGATGATAACGATCCTCAGGGTATATGAAGCCGTCTGATGCAGCTGCAGTCATCGAGTTTTCATCGAAACGTATTATGGCGAATACGGGCGTAGTTTTGGCCGTCGCTTTTCTGGCCTCGTTGTCCTTAAGTGCGGGTCTCGTTAAAGGAGACCTTGACATCTTTAAGGATCACGAAACTCATTCCAACTACGAGACGCCGCTATATCTTCGGGAAAAGAGGCAAGAGAATGTAGAAGATTCTCACGAAAAGAAGCATGATACTGCAATCTTGAAAGAACTGTCAGAGTCTAAAACTGTCGAGGATAGAAAAACTACCGTGGAAGATGTAAAACCTTTGGAACAGAAATCTAACGTGAAAAATGAAGAACAGAAGAAAGCAAATACAAGCAATAAAATTGAAAAAGATGCTGAGGTAATTATTAACTTTTTCGCTACAGCAGAGAACTAGCCGTGAAGCTGTACGGATAGTTCTGCCGCAAAGTGAGAATTAACGATATTAGTTAAAAAATGTAAAACCCTGTGAAAAAACATTTTTGTATTGTAACAATATTGTATACGGCTTTCAATGAGAGATAAAGAAGAGAGCCATTGTAGTAGCTGCTTGTTCTAAAAAAAACATCGCTTAGTAAGAAGCTACTTGTAGTGGCAATTTGTTCTAAAAGATCATCTAGCTGAAAGCGTCTGTAGTAGTGCGTAGGGCTTTAAAGGATTCAAATGCTTATGATTTTTCTCATTGAGTATTGAAGAAGACAAACGGGAAAAGGAGAATAACTCTAATCTATGTTCTCTTTCCTTTCTAGGACGCGTTCATGTACAGGAATATGCACGATCTTGTCCAAGCATTGATTCTCGCGGATGAAGAAGATATTGCTATGAGACTGCAGCAATTGCGTGAAATTGAAGTAATATCAATCTTTATTCTTTTGACAAACTTTAATTTTTAAACTTTGTAAAACACTGTAAAATTTGATAGCTAATTCTCTTTCTTACGCGCATAAATTAAAAGTGGCAACATTTCTTGCAGAACGTCAAGGAATCCGAGAAACCCAAGCGTCAGATAGGCTCTTCCTCAGCCGCGGCTGCGGCCGCCGCATCCGCAAGTGTGCCCAATCTTTTGGGAATGAATATGTGGGACGTTGTTCCCGTTGACGACTTGGATGCCCATTCGTGTTCAAACGAGGCGCTGGAATTCGGCCATTTTCACGCATCGGGTGAAATCGCGCACGAATTATTCTGCGAATTAAGGAAGTTCTGGCATTACTCTTTGAACATTGGGCGCAATCTCAAATCCGAGCTTACTTTGGGACCGCTGATCGGCGAAGATATTGTTGCTGACGGTTCCTTCAGCATCCTCTATCAGCTTCCTCGTATTTTCGAAGCCATTGTCAAACAACCTCGTCATCTGCTGATTCTACCTGAAATACTTCATGACTGCATACCATTCCCCAGCGTTTTCGGTGCTATTCATCGTATCAAACATGTCATCTTCAAGGTGTTACGCTTTGCAAAGGAACTGGTTCTAGGACATATTCGCAATCTTTTCCATCACCTCTTTTTGGGTCATCGTCTGGGTGTACGTTTGTTAGAGAAATTGGCCGACTTTAAAATAAATAAATTGCGTCATCATTACGGTACGATAATTCCGATGGAAAGTCAGTTTTACAGCGAACCGGAATTTACATACTCGGCCCCGGCAGCAACAGCGACAGCCGCGGCTTCGGCAGCAGCGACAGCTGCAGCTTCGGCAGCAACGGCAACTGCTTCTAACAACGTTGCTCTACCAGATTACTACACTTCATTGGGAGAAGTATTAAATAGTTTCCGTGGCATCTACAATGGCTATCAGGCGTCTGGAATACCGCATTTTATCAGGACTGGAGTGCAGAACATGTCTTGGACCTCAACAGTTTCCACAATAAGATCTTACTTATCCAGAGTACCTTTTTTGAATTCTTGCTTTGGATCTACGCCAGTTGAAGAGGAGATCGTAACTACAACTAGTACGGCCAGCGCATCCGCATCCACTTCTGTTGCAAGCCCAGTAGTAGCACCAGTAGCACCGGTAATACCAATGGCGCAAGCACCGATAGCACCTGTTATTCCTGCTGAATCTGTGAGCACTTCCGCGTCCGCTAGCGCCAGCGCCAGTACCATTATCAGAGAGCCGCAGCCGGTAATTTACTCCGAGCCAATTGCACCGCTGATACCAGAAGTAGCTCCCCCAGTTGTTCCTTGCGAAACGGCGCCTGTTTATTCTCCAGACATAGCAACTGCATCTGCAGCGGCGTCGTCGGCGGCGGCGGCTTCGTCGGCGGCAGCGTCAGCGGCGGCATCGTCACCGGTAATATCAAGTTATCGAACCGCTCCGCGATTATACGCCTCACCTTATGAAGAGTCATACATATCTCCACAAATTGTTCCCAATACCGTGATCGAAGAAGCCGTTCCCGAAGCTAGCTCTTCGAGCGTATCTGTAGCTTCTGCAGCATCTTCCGCAGCATCTCCTGTCGTCCCCTTTGCGCAGGAATTTGCAATTCCTAGTAACACAGCCGCTTCCGCGGCAGCTTCTGCGTCCGCTTCTTCAGCTGTGGAGGAAATCGCTCCAGTCAATTCAGTGCCATACAGTTTACCTTATAGACCCCGAATCTTGCCACCTTTTACTCCAGCGACCAGCGCAGCTTCCGCCAGTGCGTCAGCGTCTTCGAGCGATTCTGTCTTGCCAAGTCAATATGGAAGACTCGGAGGTGGACTGATCAATAGGTTACCGCTCTCCTACGGAATTCCGGGAGGTATTCCTTCTGTGATTTCTTCGCCAGTAGCCGGTTTGCCTGCCGTTGCTTCGTCCCCTGGTAACGGGTTTGGTATCGTTTTGCCCAGGGAAAAGATCGTTAACACTATAGGACACGACTATCTATTGCCGGGCGACATTATTGCAATTATTTTGAGAAACAAAGCAGTCCTGTTCGGTCATGTGCTGGACGGTAGCAGCCCGATCACTTTCAAATTCCTCAGACCGCATTTGCGCGCTTCTGTTCTTCGCAATAGCAATCGTATATGGAAACTATTAGCCCGAGATTTCAGAGACCCCGAATGCATCAGACAGTTCAACAATCCTCTACTTCTAAATTACGCTATTTAGACATCTTATACATATAAACTTCATAACTAGTCTTAAATCATTATCAGTTATCGACTATCGACTATCGATAGGTACATACTAAACAATTGTAAATAAACAATTGTGAATAAAGATCTGTGTCTTAATTAAAAGAAAGTGCATTATTATTTTACCACTTTTTACCAGTTTTACCACCTGCCAATGTTTACGATCAGAGTGATGGAATATTTTTTTACTCTTAACTTCAGACTTTTTTTTATATTAACATATGTATATATCAATATATATTTTGTGTTTTTTTACAATAAATTTAATTTATTTTTCTCTCTTTCTCTTATTTGTGCTGTCTCCGACATGTGAGACAGCTATAGAATGAATCGGAGACTTTTGTACATTATTTGCTTACAATATTATTACATACTTGACATAAGTATACCTGTGTTTACACAGATGGCACAATACATAATGCCGGACATGCAAAAACTCTCACGCAATATCTGTTTTTAATAAAATAAGCTTTTTATCTGTATTTCTTTTTGTAACACAAGATAAAATATTTTTATTATGCAACTTGAGTTTTCTTCGCTTTATATGTTAAAAAAAAATTTGCAACATTTATCTTGAAACAATTCAACGCTTTTATTGTGTGATGAGATCATAAGCTTGTACGTAGAATGCATACGCAATGTTGTGCAGATTTAAAGTTTTCAGAGCAATTAATTTGTTTTTGTAAGCGAATCTCAATTGAGAAATTTGCTACCAAATTATCATCAAAGCCGAGAATTGTATTATAAATGTCAAAGTCTGTTTTTCCACTGATTACTTGCATAAATATACTTGCATAATATTACGGGAATATTATTACCTGTGTTAAGTCAATTTGAATTATTAGTAGTTTGCTTCGAAAAGTCACATTGAGAATCATCTTTTATCAACTTTGAAAAATATTGAAATATTAAACGAGTTATTTTATAAATTTTGCGTGCAATCTTACGTATTGCAATAAACTATTATTATTATTATATGTACATTATATATATGTATATATAAATTAATTAAGATACATATATATAAATTATTATATATATATCTTATATATAAATTATACGTGTGTATATACATATACATAAATTAATTATATTATATATATAAATTAATTAATTAAGGTTCTACTAGTCTATTTTATCTTGAATTCCAAGAAAGCCTGTTTTCATCTTTAATAAATTAATTAATGTCTTATATATGTGTATATATATATATACACATATATAAGACATTAATTGCAAAGCTGCACATTAAATTGAAAAAGATAATTAAAATAAATTTTATTACTATATTTTTCGATACGTTATCTCGTTTAAAATATCACAATTCACAGAAGATTTGATCTGACCTTTTTGTGGCTTCGGTTATCCGCTCATACGTCAGTCTGGGTCGCAAATCACAAATTAACAATAATTTCACTACGATATTTTTTTCGTCGAGAGACAAAAAAAGTGCGTCAATGCAACGTTACCATATCTGATTTGTCGAGTCATTAATTAATCGTTTTAATTTATTATATGTTGTTATCATTCACAAGGACGCCATTCAAACCAAGTTGATACAGGTGTGCCATTTCAAATAATGCGTCAGTGTGCGAGCTGGAATAATCAGCCATTGAATACATGCAAAATAAGTAAATTGCCGCTACTATATATAGAGTCAAAATTCGTATCAACAATTGTGACTCGAGTGTGGATCACATTTCTCGATCCTTTCTTTTTTCGACAGTGGGTCTTTGATCTTGTTGAGCTTCCTCAAGCCGCGATGACGCGCGTCGTTTTTCTATTGACTGTGCTATTGGCTTCATGCTTTGTAAGCCAGGTAAGTTTACCTATTACGCAAATGAGATTATTATCTATAGTGTTATATACGTCATGATAATATTTTTCGGTAGAGTATGTGTGCTCGAGATAAAAAAATACGCAACAAAATCTTTATTATTGATGAGCAAATTTATGCTCTCTATACAACACACTTTTGCACTTTTTTTCATGAATTTTACAATAATTTTCTGATCTCCTAATAAATAGCTATTTGACATTCTGTACAACATATATGTACTTTTTTCAATATATAACTATATATGTATTGCATATTTTTTAAATATATAATTAATTTCTTATAATATGAACAACCTTATTTTCGTTTTCTTTCCGACTAATATTAGGCTTATCCACCGCGCCCAGAAAGGTTACCCGGCGACCNAAATGATCACCCACGACCAGAAAAGTTACCT